CCCCCCAGGTGGTGAAGCACTTGCCCAAGGCCCGAATCCTGGCCTGCGCTCCATCCAACTCAGGGGCTGACCTCCTCTGTCAGCGGCTCCAGACCCACCTGCCCAGCTCCATCTACCGTCTCCTGGCCCCCAGCAGGGACATCCGCATGGTGCCTGAGGACATCAAGGTACCTGGGGAAGTGCAGGAGACCAAGGGATGAAGAGTGCTGGGAGGCTCTCAGGGTAGACACTGAGGCCAGGAAACTAGGGGACCTGGATTCTCATAGTCACTGTATGTGAGGGTCCTGGGTCAGGACCCTGCTGGCCTTTGGTTTTCCTGTGTGTAAAATGAGAGGTGAACAGAATTGCCTGGGGGCCCAGAGCCAGAGGGAGGATGAGAGTGGGGATCGCCAAGCTGATCCCCCTCTCCCTTCACATCCACAGCCCTGCTGTAACTGGGACACAATTAAGGGAGAGTATGTGTTTCCTGCTAAGAAGAAGCTGCAGGAATATCCCGTCTTAATTACCACCCTCATCACTGCCAGCAGGTGGGAAGTGTGTATGTGTGTCTCTTAATCGTGTAAGTGAAGAGGTCGAAGGCTGGGGAGCGGGGCGAGGGGCCAGCTTGCCTGGTGAGTATTCAGGTTTGGTGGTCGGGTCCCTGGGTCTGACCCCTGCCTGGCCTGACACCTCCCAGATTGGTCTCGGCCCAGTTTCCCATTGATCACTTCACGCACGTCTTCATCGATGAGGCTGGTCACTGCATGGAGCCTGAGAGTCTGGTGGCCATAGCAGGTAAGGGGCTCAGGGTGGGCTGCTGGTGGGGCCAGGGAGGTCCCACCCCTTACCTTTCTCCCCACACTACCTTGCCTCCCAGGGCTGATGGAAGTCAAAGAATCGGACAATCCAGGAGCACAGCTGGTGCTGGCAGGAGACCCTCGGCAGCTGGGGCCTGTGCTGCGTTCCCCACTGGCCCAGAAGCATGGACTGGGGTACTCCCTTTTGGAGCGGCTGCTTACCTACAACACGTTGTATAAGAAGGGCCCCGATGGCTATAACCCCCAGTTCATAACTAAGCTGCTGCGCAACTACAGGTATCCCACGCCCTCCCCTCCCCTGCAATGCCATGCCTCCCTTCCCTCTGCAGCCCCAGCTGGGGGCTCCATCCTGCGGTCCTCTTGCTGCTCAGAGGCTGTGTGTTGCCGAATGGCTGTAAACCAGGTCCACGAGGTCTCCTTTCTGGCCCCGTCACTGCTACTCCTTGGCTGTGTGACTTAGCAAGTGGATTTGCTCTAGAACAGTTCGCTTAGTTGTATATTAAGGGATGGTCAGTGGTTCCCAGACACTGGGATGTGTCTGGTGCGGGCCCCAGATGAAGTTTCCAGGCAATCCAAGGAGAAATTAGAAAAATAGGGACCATGTAGTTTTGGGTTTTTTTATTAATCTCATTGCTATTCAAATGAAAGAGCTACCCTTCCTTTCATCAACAAGTTCATACATCTAAAACGCTCAGGTGAGCCCAGCCGGCGTGGCTCAGCGGTTGAGTGTCAACCTATGATCCAAAGATCACGGTCGATTCCCTGTAGGGGGCGTGCAGGAGGCAGCCAATCAGTGACTCTCCTCATTGATGTTTCTGTCTCTCTCGTCCTTCTCTTTGAAATCAATAAAGACATATTTTAAAATAAAGTAAAAAAATGAAATGCTCAGGTGAGCTCCCCAGTTCCTTACAGGAGCCCACTAAGAGTGCATTAAATGTTAGCAATTGTGTTAGTACTACTTATGTTTTTGGATTTAACGCATCTCAACAAATAATGGTGACAGTAGATGTTACCTGTGTTTGTATCACCCTCCCTTCCCAAAATTGAAGCCTGAAAATGGGTTTCTAATTCCTTTTTTCTTTTAAATTTGGCTGGTCTGTGAAATCCCTGGACCAGATCCTCTCCGGAACCTCATGTGGCTGTTTTCTATGGTTTACTGTCCCAGCAGCAGACACTATAGATGAATGAGCCTGCTCTCCAGTGGACAGAGGGCCCAGAGCAGGTGGAGCAGGGTCCCCAAGGGCGAGGCAGGAGTGATCCAGCCCCTGGCCTTGCTCTCTTCCTCCTCTGGCCTCCCAGGTCCCACCCCACCATCCTGGACATTCCTAACAAGCTCTATTATGACCGGGAGCTGCAGCCCTGTGCCGACATCGTGGACCGAGAGCGCTTCTGCCACTGGGAGGGTCTGCCCCGCCAGGTGAGGGGCTTCCCTCCTGTCAAAGGTGCAGGGGAGGAGGTGGCTCTGAGTGGAAGCCATGGGCCTGTCCCTTTGTCACCTTGGTCTGGGAGCCCATGTTGCCTGGGTTTGGGGTGGGAGGGGAGGGGAAGGAGGGAAGCGGGGCAGGGACACCCAGCTGAGGGTTCCCCTTGATTGTGTCCAGGGCTTTCCCATCATCTTTCACGGTGTAATGGGCAAGGACGAGCGTGAGGGCAACAGCCCATCCTTCTTCAACCCTGAGGAGGCTGCCACGGTGACGTCCTACCTGAAGCGGCTTCTGACCTCTTCCTCCAAGAAGGGCAAAGGTCGCCTGAGCCCCCGAAACGTGGGCGTCATCTCCCCATACCGGAAGCAGGTTAGGTGCCCAGTTCCCATTGGGGGTGGGACCCCCTACTCCCCAGATGGTACCTCATTCACAGCCAGGCCACTAATTGGAGGTTCCAGGAGCTCAGGCCTCTGCTGGCCCCATATCTGGGAAGCTCGGAGTTCAGCTGCCCCTCCCCGTTTGCCTCCCAGCTCCCTGGCCTCCTGCCTCCCTCTTGCACTGGGGCAGTGGGGTGAGAGAAAGGCACCTGTCTCCCCACCTTCCAGGTGGAAAAAATCCGTAACTGCATCACCAAACTGGACAAGCAGCTTCGGGGACTGGATGACATCAAGGACTTGAAGGTGACACTGACCACTGGTTTCACATTCGCTCTCTGCCTTCTGTGCCCCTCAGTTCCCCACTTCCAGAGACCACCTCAGCTCCTGCTCTGAGGCTCTGGGCTGCCCACGCACCCTGGCTTGAATTCTCCCCCGGCTGCTTACTTCTGAAGATCCCGACTTTCGGTTCTCGATGGGACCAGGATGCCTGCAAGTTTAGCAAACAGCCCACACTGTTCTTATGATCAGGCTACTTTGAGGCCTTTGCCCTAAGAATAAAGTCCAAATTCCCTGGCCTGCCTGACCTGTCATGTGATAGTGTCCCGCTGCCCTCCTCCCTCTGGGACAGTAGCTTCGCTCTCTCTAACATCCTGTTTCTCCACACTGGCTGCAGATAAGAATCATCTGGAGAGCTTCTGGCACTGACTGTGCCAGGGCCCCACCCAGCCAATTAACACAGTGATCTGGGGGCAAAGCCAGGGCATTGGGATTTTTTCCAGCTCCTCAGGTGATCTCTTGTGCAGCCAGGGTTGAAAACCAGCGCTTTGAGATTTAGAGGCCTAGCTCTAGCCAATGTGGCTCAGTGGGTTGCGGGCTTGATCCCCAGTAGGGGGCATGCAGGAGGCAACCCATCAATGTCTCTCTCTCCGTCTCCCTTCCTCTCTCTCTAAAATCAATAAAATCATATTTTTTTAAAAACAAATGATTTAGAGAACTCTCTCTTGGAAATTCTAAATCCAGGAGGTCTGGGTTGCATATTTTTAACATGTACTTAGTGTTTGCTTTTTTCCTTCCTGTTAATCCTCACCGGAGGATATTTTTCCCACAGATTTTTAAAGAGAATGGAAGGGAGGGAGGGAAAGGGGGATAGAGAGAGAGAGAAACATTGATGTGAGAGACACACCAGGGATGTGGGTTGAACCTGCAACCCAGGTATGTGCCCTTGACCAGGAAATCGAACCTGACATCTTTCCCTTTCGAGAGCGGGCGCTCTAACCACTGCACCACACTGGCTAAGGCCATGTTTCTTTACTTAAAACACTCTCCAGTCCCCATCCCTTTAACTGGAGCAGCTTCCAGGGCATCCTCCTATCCTTTCTCCTGCCCCTGTCCGACACTCAGTCTCTCCCCCGTGACAACTGCCCGGTGACTTCTCCCCACCCACCCTGGAGCTCAAGCTCCCTGAGGCAGGGCTTGTCCCTCTGCGGCCCTGGTCTCAGGCTGCCCGCCCCTCTAGGTGGGCTCCGTGGAAGAGTTCCAAGGCCAAGAGCGCAGCGTCATCATCATCTCCACCGTGCGGAGCAGCCAGAGCTTCGTGCAGCTGGATCTGGACTTTAACCTGGGTTTCCTCAAGAACCCCAAGGTCTGAGGGCTGGCATGGGGCAGGAATCCTTCTGTCCTTAAGGCCCTTCCCTCCACTGATGCCAACACTTCTTCCTTCCAGAGGTTCAACGTGGCTGTGACCCGGGCCAAGGCTTTGCTCATCGTGGTGGGCAACCCGCTCCTCCTGGGCCATGACTCCGACTGGAAGGCGTGAGCATTCCCACCCCATGATCCCTGTTGGCGGCCACGGCCCCTGGCCCTAAGCACCTCCTTGTGGCTCGGTTCATCCTTGACCCGTCCACCTTCACGGCACCCCATTTAAGTTACCTGACACTCAGAGGTTAAGCAAATTGGCCAAAGGCACCGGCTGGTGCTCCTCAGTCAGGCACGTTGTGTGAGTGTCCCTGTCCCCCACAGATTCCTGGACTTCTGTAAAGAAAATGGGGGCTATACCGGGTGCCCCTTCCCTACCAAAGTGGACCCGCAGCATGGACAGAACTTACTCAAAGGTCTGAGCAAGCTCAGTCCCTCTACCTCAGGTATGGCTGGGCCAGGGCAGGCCAGGGCTGGGCCAGTGCTGGGACGGAGGTAAGGAAGACAGCTCCCCTCCTTTCTCTCTAGGGCCCCAAAGTCCCGACTACCTCCCCCAGGATCTGGAGGGTGAAGGCGACCTGCCCCTGCAAGTGGAGCCAGAGTGGAGAAATGAGCTCTAAAGACACGCTGTTGGCCTTGGGCCACAGCACACCAGTCAAGCCTTAATGCCCACCTACCCTGACCCTAACCCATCCTGGACCAGAACCCAGCCAAGCTGCCCCTCCAAGGGACAGGAAAGCTGTGGGAGTTTACAACCCAAGCCCTTCCACCCCCTCCCCTGCAGGGAAGAATGATACAACAAGCTGCTAACAATGGAGGGTAGGGGAGGAAGAAAAACTGAAAACAAAACCTTGTTCTATGCAAAAGTGTCCATGTCTTCTTGGCCTGGTCCCTGCTTCCAGAACCCCCAAGCTGACCCCACAGGGGAAAATGGGACACTACCCAGAGCCATGTCACTTCCTAGAAAGAAACCCAGCCCCCACGACCAGGAGAGGAAACCCAGTGGGAGGTGGCAGGGAAGCCACCCACAGGCTTCTAAGTTTAGCCCCTGCTCCAGACCACTCCCCTCCCCCCGCCTCCAAGGCCCAGAGCCAGGCATGACCTCACCCTCTGCTCCTAGACTCCACCCTGCCTGCCCAGAGTCCTGCCTTTGCAAACGACAGCCTGGTACACAACTGGGGAAAGAGGCGAGATGGGACTCTAGGCTCAAGGCCAAAACAGGGACCAGGAGAGAGACAGGAAGTGGCCATATACATGTTGAAGCCTGTGGCCCTTTTATTCAAGCCCCCCACCAGGGATAGCCAGAGACAAGGCCCCTGCCCAAAGCAGAAGTTCCAGGGACCCAGGACTCGGTTACACCCTCCAAGTCCCTTACCCCAGACACGCTCCTGAGAGCCAGAGTGTATAAAGTGCTGGTGTGTGATGATCCTCCGGGGAAGGCCAAAGGGATCAGGAGCCCCACCCTTGTACCCAGGCAGCAGCAGAACTCTGCTCTGAGGACAGGGCATAGACCTAGGTTCCCAGAGTGCTGGGAGGGAAGGAGGGTGGGCGGGACACCGCCGCCCACCGCTGCCACCACTGGGGCTGAGGCCTTGAGAAACTCGATGCAGTCCTGGGCTGGAGGGAACTGGAAAAGGGAGCCTTCAGCTTGGAGCCCTAAGAGGGTACGGCTGGGGGTGTTTCTGCACCCCTGTGAAAGGACTCGAGGTGGGGAAGGACAGAAGGCCTTGGGGGTCTCAGAGAATGGGGCAGCCCCTCCGGCGCTTATTCTTGCGGACCTGGAGGCCAGCCCGAGTGGCCATCTCAAATACCTCCCGCACCCCCTCCTTGGTCTTGGCTGAGCACTCAAGGTAGCCAAAGGCACTGATCCTGTTCGCCATGTCCCGGCCTTCCTCAGATCGAACAGGCTCCTGGGAAGACGGAAAGTAAGAAGTGATAGGAAACTGGAGGCAGGAGCATCTCACTACCACAGCCATAAGTGTAGTAGCTAGAGGAAACATCAGCCCTAACCCACAAAGCACCCGAACCCCAGAACCCTGGGCAGCTTTAGGGCCAGGGACCCAAGACGTTTACATTAAAATCCTCACCGGTCCTACACCCATGGTAAACCCTTCTCTTACCTGAATAGGTATCTAGCACCTCCTAACTGACCTCCCTGCCTCCCTTCTTTCTTTCTTACAATCAATCCCTGCTGTACGGCTGCTAGAATAACTTTCCTAACTCCCAGGCCTGACCACCTCTGTCCCCAGTTTAAAACCTCGGCATAATGACCCTCAGGATAGTCCGTATTCCTTGTTTTCCAGCTCTGTTGAATAAACTAATCCTGGCTAGAGGACCACTTACCAGGTCCCCTGATAAGCCAGCCCCTCACTCTGGGCCTCTCTTTCAGCCACTTATAATGGATTTTCTTATTCACCTTAATAGCCCCAACCCCAAACACAGATGAATAAACTAAAATGGCAAGTGCCCTTGGGCAAGTCACTCTGATGACTACATCAGATACTGGATCAGACACTAGGCCCTTCTGGTTGCCCTCACCAGGGTGGGAGGTAGACGCCACCATCCCCTCTAACAGGACAGTCCTCTGGAAAGAGTGCTCCCTTTCCCAGCCTGGCAGCTCCCCACCTACCTGCTTCATCTTGGCCAGCTCCCTCCGGGTATGTTCGTCTTGCCTCAGGTCCTTCTTATTGCCCACGAGGATGATGGGCACGTTGGGGCAGAAGTGCTTCACCTCCGGAGTCCACTTCTCGGGAATGTTTTCTGCACAGACAAGTCCCAGCAGATGTTGGTGCCTCCACTTGGGCTAGAAACAGCCCCCACCCTGCAAGGCCCTGGTCTCCCCACAGCAGTCTTAGAGGGTATTCAGCATGACAGTCCCTTTTACAGCTCAAAACCTCTCCCCTGAGCCTTCCCAAGGGTCAGAGTTCCCACAGTGAAGGAAGCGAACAGCCCCCTGCACCCCTCCCCACAGCCCCAGTTCCGAGGACTGCTGAAATGAGCCAGGGCAAGAGCTACCTCGGGCTGGTTGATTCCAAAGGGTTCCGGTCCCCTCCCTCCAGTGCCCTCACCCAGGCTGTCCGGGCTGTCTATGGAGAAGCACATGAGGATGACGTCAGTGTCCGGGTAGGAGAGAGGCCGGAGGCGATCGTAGTCTTCCTGTCCTGCTGTGTCCCACAGGGCCAGCTCCACCTGATACACAGGGCCGGTGAGTAACTAGCCTGGGGATCCCAGTCACACACACCCCACCCTACCACCTAGAGGTTGTCTCTGAAGCCACTGGTCCTTGAGGCTCACTGAATACTACTGAGCACCTGCTCCATGCCAGGAATAGTGCTAATCACTGTCACCCCAACACAAACACAAAGGTGCATTTTTGAAAATCCTGAGACATCAGTGCTTCATCTTTGTGTGCAGTTTATGAATTACCATGGTGAACCCCACTGTTTCACTTATCCTCACAAAAGCCCTTTGGAGGAAGCCTTAATTATCCCCATTTGGCAGTTGGGGGAGCTTAAGCTCAGAGGTGCAGGGTCACTGTGTAGAGAGCCAGGAGGTGTATCTCGATTTCCTGACTGCAGTTTTACTTCCTAACTTTAATTGGTGCCAGCGGGGAGAGTGGACACCCTGGGTCGTGTTGGGGGGCGGTTCCAGGTGACATGAAAAAGGACTGTGCCTTCACCTGCTTGCCATCCACCTCTATGTCTGCGATGTAGTTCTCGAAGACGGTAGGGACGTAGACCTCTGGGAACTGGTCCTTGCTGAAGACGATGAGGAGGCAGGTCTTCCCGCAGGCCCCATCTCCCACGATCACCAGCTTCTTTCGGATGGCAGCCATGGCTGGGGCTGGCAGGGAAGAGGCAATGGGGGTTTGGGGGAGAAGCCTAATAAGTCCAAAAACATTTCTCTGGGGCCCCCCTAGACCTCCCTGGAAATCGAAGCATCCAGCAAAAGGGAGGGAAAGGGGCTTGCTCAGGCATGTTCTTGCCAAGAACCAATTGCTCGGGCAACTGGGCTGGAAATTCCTTATCTCGGGGTCAGGGACAGGTCTCCCCCAATGGGATAGACTAGGGAAGTGGGAGATGGAAAAACCAGCGACTTGGAAGCCAGACAACATGAGTTGTGACCTAACCCATTCACCCTCTGTGGGGGCCTGGACACCTAGAGGGGTGCTTGGGGACATGTCCAGAAGAGCCAGCCTTTATGTGCTATATGTATCAGGGTTTCAAGTCAGACTTCACTTGTTACCAGGGTTTTGATACTTTTAAAGATTAATAATTGCTAAGGTCCGATCTAGAACACACTGTCCCTCACCCAGCATAAATCATGCCTACCCAGTCACAAATGAGGTTCCTCTCCAAGGTCACAGGCCAGAAGAACAAGCTACCAGGTGGTAGGTGGGTAAGGGAAACTGTTGGGCGTTTTGACAAAAATCATCTCCCTTGGTTCCCAGCAGCCTCTTAGAAGGGAAATGGAGAGCTTCCTATTTTGACAAATTAGAAAAGTGAAGCTCAACCACGTATTCAGAGTCACGGCAGGGATGGCACTCAGAGCAGGGCTTTGTGACTCTAGAGTCTGTTGCCTTTTCTATGTATCATCCCAGAGGTTGGGAAGAGCAGAGGGAGGGAAACCCAGACAGAGGGCAGTAGCAGCAGCCAGCAGGCTTCCCTGGCCCACCCCATCCTGGTTCCCAAAGCCCCAAGTCACACAAAGGAGGCTCAGTCCCCGCAGCGCCCACAGCCCACATTCGGGCAGCCTGCCTTCCTCCCCCCTTCCTCCTGGGCCTGGCAGCAACACTGGGTCACTCAGCCTCAGGCAGGGGACAATGACCACACTGTAGGGAGCCACACATCCAGCACTACAGAGCGACTGAGAATAATCCACCAGGGAGTCACCTCCACCCACTCCGTGGAACAGCCCCTTCCTCCCCTCTGTACAGCTAGCTCACCCAAGGCCCTGCCCACCCCTCCCTGTGACTCAGGGCGAGGAGTCAGCTTCCCGGGGTTTCCATGTCCCCCACCCCCCAGCACACACCAGTGAGCATCTGCACAGTTCATCACACCTTCCCAGCTTCCCTGCCCCTGAGCTGAGCCTCGCTTCCTCCCTCCCAGGGGAGAGGAGCTGACCTCCAGCCGGCTGAACTTCCCAGGCTGCAGGCCTGGAGGAAGAGGGGAGGCTCTGGGGCCGAGATCAAGTGGAGACTGTTGGGAAGGCTGCTGGGAGGAGCTCCCCTAAAGAAGACAAATGAGGGCCGGTCCCAGCAGCAAACAGGCAGGGAGTAGTTAGGAAAAGAAGGGGACGGTAACCTGATCTCTGCCCAAAATCTGGCTTTTTCTCCCGGTCCCACATCCTGTCAAACTGGGCTGAACTCCTCCCCACACCCGTCTTGGTCTGCCTTGTAGGAGGCGAACCTTCCAGCCCAAGGCTCGTTCTCTTATTGAACAGCGGGGTCCTGGGTGGCCTCCCTCCGCTATACACACAAACTGGGATGAGGGAAGTCGCTATGAGTCAGAGAGAATTTACAGGAGTTGAGAGTACAGAGCCACTCTCTCTGCCTCGAAGGGGACTCTCACTGATGCCCCGAAAGACAGGCAAGAAGGCATTCACCGTGTCAGCAGATACCCTTCAAAAAGGGGGCTCCCTGGAAATTCCACCCAGGTGACCAACTCCCCCACCCCGCCTCCCACCAGTTCCACTGGTCCAGCTGTGTGGAAACAGGCTGGGGTCCTAGCGCCAACATGGATGCGCGGTGTTGACGGAGGGCAGTCACCAGTTGCTCAGCTTCAGTGTGCCACTGCCTCCCCGGGCAAGGCAGTTTTGGTGGCACCAGGCAGTGGGACGAGGGCAACGTTAAGTGGCCTGGAGCCCCGAGTTCAATTAGAAGCCTTTCCTTTCGGGCTGTGGTTGGGCCAGAAGAGCAGCTGGCCCAGGCCGGGCCTCTTAGGCCCAAGGCCAGATGGCAAAGACGACAGCTCCCTGAGAGATGCAGCCCCACAGACCCTAAGAGGGGCCATCAAACCCCACAGCGCCTGGAACAGAGCCTGGAACTCCCGGAGCCTTCCCTGAGACAGCAGACCCTGTCCTCGGTCTCTACATTTCCAGATGACCCAGGGGCCCCCCGCTGTTCCCTGCCAACCACCCTGAGGTCTCGGGAAGGAACCAGATGCCTCCTCAACTTTAACACCAGGACTGGGCCTAGGGTCTCCCAGCCCAAACCAGGCTGGGAGGCGGGGGGCTGGAAGGAAAGGAGAGCCTTTCCCACTCCCCACACAAAGGAGCTGGATCCCTCCTAATCCCCCTACCTCCCACCCCTGGCAGCAGTGGGAGCCCCCGCTGGTCACACCGCACCCCTATTC